AAATCAGACAAAACATGGACCAGCCAAGATGCCCAACTGGTGAGTGGATAAAGAACACGTGCTAGATACATGGAATGGAGTTTTATCCCGCCATAAAGAACAGTGAAATCGCCGGGCGGTGGTGGCGCACGCCTTTAATCCCAGCACTTGGGAGGCAGAGGCAGGTGGATTTCTGAGTTTGAGGCCAGCCTGGTCTACAGAGTGAGTTCCAGGACAGCCAGGGCTACACAGAGAAACCCTGTCTCGAAAAAACAAAAAAACAAACAAACAAACAAAAAACAGTGAAATCACATCATTTGCATGGAAATGTATGTCACTACAGATCATACCATTAAGCAAAGTAGCCTGGACAGAAGGACAAATAGCATGTCTTCTCTTGTAGGCAGTATATAGAATATGCTGCATATGTAAGTGGGACTATGACAGGTGGGGACAGGGTCTAGATGGAGAGGGAAGGAGGACGAGAGAGAACATGAGAGCAAGAATGCCAGCCCAGCACGTGCTCTTCCCTGTGTATGTTGGGGGCACAGAAAAGCACTTGGGAAACTGAAATGTTAAATATAGGGCTGTGTCTTCAAAGCAAGAGATGTACAACCTGATTCCCACCCAGAAGACTGGGAATGGGTGTGTGTAGGCATAGTTTTTCTAATGAGGGTTCAATCTCTCATCTAGCCAACCACTCAGCAGAGGTAATAGAAGAGAAAAGTTATTAGGATATGGGGGAAGTGGACCTGCTCAGCAATAGTTTTTGGGGGGTGAGCTCAATCTTCCTGGAGAGCACTTCAGTCCCACAGCAAACACCAAATGCGACTCGGCAGCTGCAGACCAGTCCTGTAGGCAGGCAGACACTAGCAAGAATCAGCAGCTGCAGACCAGTCCTCTCAGCAAGCAGACATCAGGCGGCTGTAGTTCAGCCCTGAAGAAACCACTAGGCTTGCCAAGTAGCCTGAGGCAAGGCTGCTGAGGTGGCAAGCTGCTGCAGGAATCTCATGAGCAGTTCTTGAGTGAGTTTCTCTCAATGTTGGAGTTGTCACAAGTTGAGTTCAACAATGCTGTGTAAGGGGAATGAATACGCACGCGCTTGTCTTTAGCGAAGGATAGTGAGGCGGAGCAAACCAAACCAAGGCTCGGTGCTCCTCCCCCACTGTCTGTGGGTCAGATTTATACTCCTTCATCAAGAGTCCTTTCTTTTTCTTTTTCTTTTTCTTTTTTTTTTGTTTGTTTTGTTTTTCGAGACAGGGTTTCTCTGTGTAGCCCTGGCTGTCCTGGAACTCACTCTGTAGACCAGGCTGGCCTCGAACTCAGAAATCCGCCTGCCTCTGCCTCCCAAGTGCTGGGATTAAAGGCGTGCGACACCACGGCCCGGCGACTCTTATCTTGAATACTGTTTCTCAGTCAGTCTATTGTACCTATCCTTGCGGGAGACGTCAGCTTGTACTTTACAAATGGGAGCAGAAGTGGTTTATAGCCTGGTGACCTCTGCACTGTGTGACTGAGACCATCCCTCCCCCAGATCCTTAAAATGTTACAGATAGTCTGTTGAGGTTTAGTCTTTTGCTATACTAAATACTAGTTGCTCCCAGAGACTCACACGTAGATCCAGGTAACGCTAAGTGACCTTGCCTCCCAAGTTATTCCTGATTGGTGAATAAAGATGCCTACAGGGTATAGCTGGACGGAAGAGACGTGGGTGGGGTTTAGCATTCCAGAGCTTGGGGTCAGAGGAAAACCATGAGGTGGAGAGAGAGAAGGAAAATAGAGGAGAAGCTACCACGGGGTAAAAATCTTAAAATAGGCCGGGCAGTGGTGGCACACGCCTTTAATCCCAGCACTTGAGAGACAGAGGCAGGCGGATTTCTGAGTTCGAGGCCAGCCTGGTTTACAGAGTGAGTTCCAGGACAGCCAGGGCTACACAGAGAAACCCTGTCTCGAAAAACCAAAAAAAAAAAAAAAAAAACCTTAAACTAATGACCATGTGGATTGGCTGACTGAAGTTAAGAGCAGCTCTGAAGAAACATGACAAATTATATAATGGGATTATCGGCTGAGAACTAGACATAGTAGCATAGAGGGTAGATATCTGCCCAGCTCTTGCACCAATTAAAGCTTATGGCAAATGTAAAGGTTGTGTGTTTTTATCTGGGAACTAAATGAGCTAAGGCGGGATAGAAACCCTGGGTTGAGAGTAAATAATTTATACAACAGTAGTCAATCTACGGAACTCATCTTTATGGAAGAGGTCATATACTTTACAAAGATTTTCATTGTAGACATGCCTTAGGTTTTGTGATGCACACGAGACTGAGTTAATTATCAGGAAGTATTTTTCTAAAATTGTGCTGTGCTTAAATATGCCTAAAATAAATTGCCTGAAGTCAGACTCAAGGAGTTTTGAGCCAACCCCAGCTACTGAGTCATGTTGAATCAGAGTTCCTTCTGACCTCAAGTGGATCAATAGTCTGCTGGTTTCAGTGGTCACAGATTCACCCCCTCTCCTATACATATGTGGAACAGAAAGTGTCGAGTATGTGTGTGTGTGTGTGTGTGCGCGCGTGTGTGTGTACAAGGAACTATTTGTGAGAAGGGTCCAGAAAAGAAGAGATGATGGGGAAAGGTAGCAAGAGGTACAAATATGAAGAAGGTATACTAATGTATGTATGAAACGTCATAACAATCTTTTTCTTTTTAAAATGATTTTTATTTTGTGTGAATGAGTGTTTTGCCTGCATGTATGTCTAAGCACAAGTATGCCTGGTGCCCATAGAGACTAGATGAAGAGTATCGAGTTCCCTGAAACTGGAGTTAGAGGTGAGTATGAGTCACCATGTGAGTGTTGGGAATCGAACCCAGGGCAGTCAGTCCCCTTAATCACTAAGCTATTTCTTCAGCTCTGAAACCTATTATTTTCTGTATTAAGTAAAAATTTTCATTTGTTGTTGTTCTGAGGCGGGATCTCACTATGTAGCTTAGGGTTTATCATGAAGCCCAAGCTGGACACAAACTTGCAGCAATCCTCTTCCATTGCCCTTGAAAGTACAAGCTAGTTAGAAAAAAAGAAAACGATACATGCTAGGTGCATACTCTATCACTGAGCTACAGTCCCAGCCCTGACAGTTTTTCTTAAAGGAATTTGTGTCTTTATAGATCTTGCAGGTAAAGCAGGGCAACATTATTAATGAATAAATGAGAGTTGCACTTCAATGCATCTTATTATCACAGTACTGTGAGCAAGAGAGGATGTGATGTTACACGCCTGTAACCCAGGCACTCGAGAGGCTGATGCAGGAATGGTCATGCATTCAACTCCATCCTGGACTACACAGGGAGATTCCATCTCAAAACAAGAATAAAACCCACAATGCTGTGGGGGAGTTAAATAAGAAACACACTATAGTAAATCAGGAATGTGTAGTTTTAAATGTGCTTGCAAAATAACACTATATCTTAACTTACAGGATAGTGTGTGAATAGAAGGGTAAGTATTTAGCAATGAGCTCTCTGAAAGAAAGAGGAAGAAAATTGATTTGTAATACACCCTGATATCCACAACATAAATCTTCCTGTTGTGGCTGAGTCCAAACCATTAAGGGTTTAATAACTAGCTGATATTTCTGATAGGTTCTCTTCTTATATCCCAGGTTGGCCTGGAACTCCCAATAATCCTTCCTTCTAGACTTCTAAGTGGTGGGATCACAGGCCTGGATCACCACACCCAACAAATTACACCTACTTCAGGTCTTTATGAATTCATTATTTGTGCTGGTGTTCCTTATTTTTCTAGGGCAAGATGAATACTAATGTTGCCAAACAATATAATTTCCCCAATTTATTTTTATTTATTTACATGTTTTACAGTGTTGAGGACTAAACCCAGATCCTAGTACATGCTAGGTGTGCTGGATAATTTTCTGTCAACTTTGTTAATGTCCACTAGCAGTTTAGAACAGACAACTCCAGACCAAACGGTTCCAAGTGGTGGTGGGGGGGAGGGTTATTCAGGGCAAAGGGGGGGGGGAGAGAAGTAGAAGAAGATGGCAGAGGAAGAGAGAGAGAGAGAGAGAGAGAGAGAGAGAGAGAGAGAGAGAGAGAAAGAAGAAGAAGAAGAAGAAGAAGTGGAGGCCGGCCATGACCACGTGGAGAGAGAGAGAGGGAAAGGAAGGGGAGGGGCGCGAGGGGGACAGAGAGAAGCTAGAGGCAAGAGAGCAAGAGAGAGAGGAGGAGGAGGCAGGCAGCCCCTTTTATAGTAGGCAGGCCTACCTGGCTGTTGCCAGGTAACTGTGGGGGAGGGGGGGCAGAGCATACCTGGCTATTGCCAGATAACTGTGGAGGTGAAATTTAGACAGAATACTAACAAACTTAGCACAGACAGGGTCATCTGAGAGGAGGGAATTTCAATTAAAATGCTTTCAGCTGTGATGGGAGCTCATGCCTTTATTCCCAGAACTACAGAGGCAGAGGCAGGAAGATTTCTGTTGAGTTTCAGGCTAGTCTTGTGTACAGAGGGAGTTCCTGGTCAGCCAGGGCTACACAAAAACCCTGTCTTGAGGTTGGAAGCAGAGAACAAGAAACTCATGGCTTTTCAGTATAACCCCATCTGTGCATATATTGTTATTTGGATGTTTAAAAGGGCAAATATTGGGGGATGAGAAAAGCTCAACTGGAAAAGTGAGGTTTGTTTTGTTTTTTGTTTTTGGTTGTTTTTTGTTTGTTTGTTTTGCTATGCAAGCAAGACCTGAGTTCCATACCCAGAAAGATAAAAACAAAACCCCACAGGCAAAGCCAGGCGGTGACACACGCCTTTAATTCCAGCACCGGGAGGACAAAACAGACCCAACGCCAAACTACAGGCTCTTGAAACCCGCCAATCTCCCGCGTTAGGCCGGGCGGACACAAAGCCTCCCGGGGAGGAGGCGGGGTTTGCGACGTCATCACGGGTCCGCCCCTTGACGTCAGGCGCCGGGGACACCAGGAGGTTTCTGGCGGTACCGGCGCCATTTTGCCTGAACGTGCGAGCTGGTGGGAGTGGAACGCCCCGGCCGTTGTAACCGTCGCCTTCTTCCTCCCCACAGTCCGAACAGCGCGGTGACTAGGCCGTCGGCCCTCGAGCCGAGACATATCTCTTATTTAGTTCTCGGGAGCGCCTGGCCGACATGAGTGATGTAGAGGAAAACAACTTCGAGGGCAGAGTGAGTACAAAGCCGCGGGAGCCGTCTTCGGCGGCGGCCCGATGCTCCGGGGCTCGGGGACGAGCGCGGTCGGTCGGGCGAGGTTGCGGGGCCCGCAGGAGCAGCCTTGAGGGCCACCGCGAGCGCGTCACGTCCCAAGATGGCTTCGGGGTCCCCCTGCCTGCCCAGATGCCCCACTAGCCCGCAGCGCTCCTTTCTGACGGCTTACTGGTACCTGGCCTGGTCCTATCCTCTCCTGTCGCTCCCTTTCCTCTCAGCTTCCCATCTCTGCTCCGAGGTGCGGGTCCCCGGCGCGGTGGGGCAGGAGGCGGCGGGGCGCTCCCTCCGGCCGGATAGTGGTAGGTGCTTCCTGCGGTGGCATCTCGGGCCACCATCCCCCCCTCCGGCCATCGCAGCGGGGTCTCGGGGTCGGAAGTGCGCGGGGCTGTTGTCCGGGCGGGGAATCGTTGGCGCGGGACTAGCTGGGGCCTGTGTCTCCTTGGCTCTCTGTTGCAGTGAGCGGCCGCGTCTCCGTCGGAACCGGCGGCGTTGCGTCTATAGAGGCAAAAGCCTTGAGGTTGAAGGTGTGACGAGCCCAGTGGAGTGTTTAGTCAACGGCCGCAGCGACCCTTAAGAGTCCTTAAGACGAGAGCTGGGAAGGGAAAACTACGCAAGAGCCTTTCCCCTTAATGTCCTCTTTCCTTTCGCTTCTAAAGTGAATGTGGAAATGCAGTATCGCCTGTTTTTCTTAACTGCTAGATGTTGGGTTCTTTATGTCTCAACTTCTAAAGCTTTCCTTCCTGTGTGACCCATTCATCTGAAAACTCCTTTACAGGTTTTTATGGCTAAACTGCCAAGACATCTTTAAATCTTACGTAACTGAACGAATTTCTTGCCTCAGTTTTCACACACACAAAAAATAGCTAATCAGTGTTAACTCAAAAGATTACCTGAAACTTACAGACTCTGTCCTGTTCTCACCCATCCCCCAGGAAGGGGCTCAAGGCTTTCATTATTTAAGGTCTTGTGAATATAAACAGTATACTCAGCTTGAGAATATTAGAACGTTACCGGTTTTTGAGTTTTATTCCGTAGTTACCCTAGTATTAGAAATTAATGGAAGTGAATCCTGGTAAAAACCATTTGGAAGGAAAAATAGGGAAACAAAAGTCTCATGGTACTCGGTCTGGCTGTTGTGTTGGTATTCTAGTGGAGGAGGGGCGGGTGGGAAAAAAACCGCTGGAGGGGTTTGCTGAAGGAAAGAATGCCCAGTGTCCCTTTGGAAGTTCAGGATTGAGACACCTGTACTCTGTCAGTCAAGTCATACGGTCAGTTAGGGTTTTGATCTTGAGAAAAGAGGGTGTGTTTTGTTTGTTTTTTACTTTTTATTTAATGTACTAGGACAAGGTCATAACATCGTTTAACTTCGATTGGATTATTTGAATGAAATTTGCACACAATATGATTGAACCTGCTTACTGTTTTTAGGTTTTGTTGTACTAACAACTTAAGACCATGAAGTGAATATTTGCAGGTAGTTGTATTGTGAAACCATTTAAGTTATTAGGAAAGGACGTTTGGGTGGTGGTGTTTTTGGTTTGTGGGATTTGCACCAGTATTGCTCTGATAGCTCTGATTGCTTCTCTGGTTCTCTAATTTATCCTCTAGTGGGAGGAATAATGGATAATTACCACCTTACTCACCTCAAAATATTTAAGATTCCTATTCACTTTTCAGTTAAAATTTACTTAGGTATTAACAACCTAGCTAACAGATTTTTCTAGCTTTCTTCTGCCATTTGTAGTAACAATTTTTTTAATTTTTTACAGCAGTCCCTGTGGTTCAATAAGTTGGCACCATCAGCACCTCAGTTACAGCTAGATGCAACAGAGTTTGTGTTTTGTAATTTTTTTTTTTTTTTGGTTTTTCGAGACAGAGTTTCTCTGTGTAGCCCTGGCTGACCTGGAACTCACTCTGTAGACCAGGCTGGCCTCAACTCAGAAATCTGCCTGCCTCTGCCTCCCAAGTGCTGGAATTAAAGGCATGCACCACCAGTGCCCAGCTCAGGTATTTTTAAGAGATTATTAATGTAGGTGGGTTTTTTTTTCCTATAGGAATTTGTTGAAGATTGCATCTGATACATAAAGTGACTGATTGAATTTTATCTTCAGGTGTAGCCGGGAACATGTTAACCCATCTTAGGAAAAGTGCTTAAAATTAGCTGGAGGCTTCCTAGAATGGACCAAACACTGAAGATAAAATATATCAATATATCTACGGTTACAACATTTTAGAATTCAGCCTTTTTGGGTGTATTTTATTTATTAACTTCTGATAATATAGCAAGGGGTGGAGTGCTGTCAGCATTTTAGAAATGAAGGACCACCCAGAAAGTGCTGCTGGTGCACACCTAAGAGCTTGGAGGGCAGAGGCAGGTGGATCTCTTGAGTTTGAGGCTAACCTGGTCTGCTGAGCAAGTTCAAGGACAGCCAGGGCTACACAGGGAAAAACAAACAAAAGAAAAAGGAGCTGAAAAGATAGCTTAGTAGTTAAGAACACTCACTGTTCTTCCAGAGGACTTGAGTTGGATTTCCAGCACCCACATGGCAGCTCACAGCTGTCTGTAACTCCAGGATCCATCACTCACACAGACATACATGCAGGCAAAACATCAGTGCACATAAAAATTAAAAAATTATAGAAGGGAGGAGAGAACAGACCAAGACGTGGAAGACCACATAAGCCCCAGTTTACTGCTTATTGTATATACATGATCCTGTATATGTTTAGATTTTTCTTTGTGAAGAGCACATTGTACTTAACTGTATTGACCCGTTAATAGAGTTTGCTAAAAGTATTTATTCAAGCCATGTTAGATTGTATATTTTACTTTATGTATATGGGTGTTTTACCTGCATGTGTGTCTGTGTACCACACATATATAATATATAAGCCAGAAGAGGAAACCACATCCTCTGGGACTAGGGGTTGTAGATGGTTGTGAGCTACCAAGAACTTTCAATCTTAATTTCGGGTGACTGCCAATTTAAACCTGGGTTTAAAAACAAAAATACTGTCATCAAGTGTATTAGTGCTGAAATAGTGACAGATATGTGTGCAGATAACAAAGGCTTTCTAATCTGACACGCAATAAGGCCTCTTGGTTTTGGAGACCTGTGATCAAAAGGACTGGCACGGAGCAGTAGAGTGCAACTTGAATTATTTATGGCAGAAACCCCTTTCAGGGAATACAGGAGAATGTTTGTGCCGTTACAAAATAGATCCAGTGTTACGAGTGCCATGGCACATCATTAATTCCCAGCACTTGGAAGCCAGAGGCAGGCAGAACCCTGAATTCAATTCAAGTAAGGTCCTGCCCCCAAAACAATCCAGACAGGTCCATAAACAGCACACTTGGTGACTGCATATATCAGTTCAGGAAGGTGTGTGGAGGACGTTTCATACGGGGTTCACTCCAGCTCCTGCTTCCCTCAACTCCAGATCCTTTTGTTTCAGCTTCTCCTAGATACTGGAATTTATAGCCAGAGGCTACCACACCCAGTGTTCTTTTGAAACTGGGAAAGAGGGAAAGGTGGCTCTGACTTCCCTTCTCCCCTCACCCCCCCATCTCACTTTTTTGGTTTTTCGAGACACAGTTTCTCTGTACAGTCCTGGCTGTCCTGGAACTCACTCTGTAGACCAGGCTAGCCTCAAACTCAGAAATCCGCCTGCCTCTGCCTCTGGGATTAAAGCCGTGCGCCACCACCGCTCAGCTTCACTATCTCACTGTTTACACAAGGCTGACCTCCAACTCAGATCTATTTCCCTCTGCCTCCTGAGTACTGGCATCTGCTTGTCACCTTAATAAAAATGAATTGTCTGCTTTATGACACCTATCCAAAGTTAAAGAGTTTGATCTTAATGTCCTTTGTAGAAATGGAGAGCAGGCATAACTCTTTAATAGTTTTTATTCTGCCTCTTAAAAACCCAGTTTTTTTTCTTTAAAGTCCTAGTACAAAGTCTCTTTGCTGTAGAATAATTTGTCGATGAAAGTGAAAAATTAAACAAATTTACCTATATTAATTGGAGTTAAAATTGTATTTGTGTGCTGTAGAAGATGGCTCAGTGAGGAAAGTGCTTGCTGTAGAGCATGTGAAGCTAAGTTCTGAAGCTGGCACCTGTATGTAAAAAGCCAGGCTTTGCAGAGCATGCCTCTAATCCAAGTGCCTAGGGTCCTCAGAAGTCCTTGGATAGTTCAGCTAATGAGTCGATGGGCTCTGGGTTCAGTGAGAGACCAACCCTATCTCAGACAGTAAAGTGGAGAGTGATAGAGTGAGAGACCAACCCTATCTCAGACAGTAAAGTGGAGAGTGATAGAGTGAGAGACCAACCCTATCTCAGACAGTAAAGTGGAGAGTGATAGAGCAAAATGCTAACCTTCTTTCACAGGTCCGTGAGCATGCAAATATACACAAAGTTGTATGGATTAATATCTTAACAGATGGAAGAGACAGGTCTATGCTTGCAACCCACCACTCCAGAAGTGATGCTCAGAAGATAAGGACCGGTTTGAAGTCAGCCAGGGATATATAGCAAGACTCCCAGAGCTTGAGAGATCGATAACTCAGAGATTAAGAACACTTGACTGCTTTTGCAGAGACCCCAGATTCAATACTCAGCCATCACGTGGCACCTCATAGTCATCTGTAACTTAGTCCCAAGGGTTCAATCACACTTTTCTGGCCTCTGGGTATGACATGCATAGCGTACTCAGAAACATGTGCAGGCAAAACACCCACACACATAAAATAAAAACTAATTTATGAGCTGGGTGGTGGTGCATCCTTTTAATCCCAGCATTGGGATGAAGAGGCAGGAAGATCTCTAAGTTTGGGGGCAGCCTGGTCTACAAAGCTAGTTCAAGGAAACCTAACAAAGAAACCTAAACAAATGAGAGGGGAGACCTTGTCTTTAAACAAGGAGAGATGGGAGGTGCTTCCTTCACTCCTGGAATTGATTTA